GTCCGGTCCGGGGGGAGGGTGCCGCACGCGGCAAAGCGGACCGGAGCGGACGCTCGTCCGGTCCGTCTGCTTGCAAGTATGCATTGAACACAAGTGGTGGTAGCACTCTTCATTGGGAGGCAAACAACTGCCAGACCGCAAAAGAACAGTAAAAAAAAACAATTTCCCAACCAGACGAACAAAAAAAAAAAAAAAAAAAAAAAAAAAAAAAGCAAGCAAGCTGTCACCAGCTCTTTTTTTTTTTTTTTTTTTTTCACGGTTTCTTGAGAAGTCATTTCACAACATCCAACGGTTCTCATCGGGGCCTGTAATCCAACATTCCGCACCCGCCCTTCCTCCCCCGCCCCCCACAAAAAAAAACACATACAAAGGCTATGAATGAAACTCAATGAATCCACCGTCCATCCAAGTGTTATAACTTATAATGAGTCCGTGATTCAACTTGATTGCGCGGCAATGTGGATATTTAGCTGCACACTCAGGCTGGTAGTACTTGGCACACAGTCGGAAGCAAACACGCACGCACCGTTTCTTTGTACTTTGGCTCCAAGGTACGCTGCGATAGCCCGACAAACTCCAGCGTCTCTGTACCAAGATCCGCCAAAATGCTCGAGTACTGCCACGTGTCATCACAACCACAGGAACCACACTTCGAGTAATCAGAACCGTCGAGTCTCGTCTTATCGCGTCCTTCGGGACATCCGTTAAAATTGGAACGATACACAGAAGATTCACCTGGCCCCCGTGCAAGGATGACATGCATAAATTGAGGACCAGTCTGGGAAAAAAAAGAAAAAAAAAAAGCTAGGTTACCAGCCGCGCTGCCCGGGTCACCTTATTTTCGCAGGCAGCACGGCAGTGCAAGGACCAGGGAAAGTCCCAGAGAAACAAAAAACACCGAAAAAAATCTATGTTATGCAGAAAAATAAACTGAATATTTTTTTGCCTTCGGGTCAAATGACTCAAATCGGAATTCTTTACCATTTATTTATTTATTTTTCGCCTGGCCGGGCAAGTGGCCCCAGAAAACAAAAAAAAACGAAAAAAAACTATGTTATGCAGAAAAACAAACTGAACAACGTTATGCAGAAAAATAAACGGAACAACTTTTGCCTCAGGGTCAAATGACTCAAGTCGGAATTCTTTACCTTTTTTTTTTTTTTCCGCCCGGCCGGGGAAGTGGTCCCGGGCCTCTCTGGTAGCCTAAAAAAAAAGAGAGAAAAAAAAAGCCTCTCATCTTATCGCAGACGTCGCTAGGTTGAAGACCTGATGCCCCACGCTTATCCATTACAGCCAGGCACAAACGTGGACGATATAGCTTCAGGTGTGTGCGTATCGACATTTGCCGATTGGTCTATTGGTTAGGTATCTGCCTGGGAAGTGGTAGCTTGTGTGTTCCATTCTTGGATTGGACATATGCATTCAGCCGGGGACAGAAATGGGACTGGCAATCTGTGTGCATGGTATTGCTGCAGGTATGAACACACACGTGGAGCCCCACCCACACACCCACGCAACCACCCACGCACATGCCGTACCCACCCATAGCTACCTAATGAGCAGGTCTATTCCTGTGAGTGAGGTCTCCACATATAGGTTCGTTTTTTTTTGCCGACCAAAAAAGGATGACGGCATTGAGATATCATCACAGAGCTGATCAGCTCCAGATACCTCGGAATTACTTATTTCAATAGTTGCGTTGCACTGGTATGGTGCGGGGCGCTGTGCGCCATGCGTGACAGAGTGGTGCACGTGCGCTTGCACGAAAAAAAAAAAAAAAAAAACAGCTGTCTGTGTGTGTGTGTGTGTGAGAGAGAGAGAGAGGCCTTCAACTCGCTTTCCTTCTCCTTTTCAGAAAGGGGTTTAGCCTGTAGCATAATTATATCCACAAGGCAGGGTGTTCCGTGACACCTTGCACATTTTTCTTTTTGGGCGGACCTTTTTTTTTTTTTTTTTTTTTCGCCCCGCATCGGGTGTGGTGCGCGAGGTGCGCCAGACGTGCGCTGAGGCGCGCACCTCAATATGCCCCGCAACTATGCTTATTTCTGCTCATGTGATTTCGTACGGACTGGAACTTGGGTCGGTATTTTAACAACAGTTCATTTGTGGGCTGACTGAGCTGCCGTCTTCACCCGAATAGGATGCCCGGTCATTATAGCTGTGTACTTGGACCAACTTGCGGTCCACATGCGACCATAATGACCGGGTGTTCTTTTTCGGGTGCAGACGGCAGGCCTGTTTCCTAGTGAGGTCTCCACGTATAGATTTAGATTCTCAGCAATAGAAACTCGACTACATGGTGAACCCTTTTTTTTCTTTTTATTTTTAATACATTTTCATAATGCAATCTCCATCGCCATGCCACGGCAATGATCACATCAACATAAAGTGCGGTTCGAGCAATTGATTCGCGCTGGTTCCGTTTGTCTGATAATGCCGAGCACTCGTGATTTCGATATTCAATTCTCAGCAATTTTGCATTTTTTGCCTTATTTTCTCAATTTTTTTTTTTGTGTGTCATCCTTGTACACGGGACATCCTACTTTTCTTTGTATCCTTCCAATTTTGACATGCATCCCCAGAATACTTTTTTGTTTTTTTTTTACATATTCGAATCAGCAAAAAAAAAAAAAAAAAAAAAAAAAAAAAATAAAAAAAAATAGGCAAAGCTGAAAGACACCACCTTGTTGTACACATATTCAACGAAATGAGGAGAGAGAGGGAGAGGGAGAGGGAGAGGGAGAGCGCGCGCGAG